CCCCACCCCCCAAGGGAAAGGTGCCCACGTCGTCCCGGTATGAAGAAATGGGATTCAGGGGAGTATCCTCTTCACGGGAGCCCAAGGCCGGGCGTTCGGCCGGGGACGAGTGGCTGATTCCGGGGGGGGCTAAGCACAGGCCACCGGAGAGCGGGTTGCCCTGCGGAATTAGTCATTCCGTTTGGTCGGTCCTCCACGGCGGTCGCTTCTGGCAACCATCGCAACACCTCCCACTGGACACGGCGACAATTTGGTGGTGGTGGTGGGGGGGGTTCAAGCGCTCGCAGGGCTGTCCGAAGCTTGGTCCTGACATATCGAGGCGCGGGTTTGCGTATCGTGTCGTATCGGTTGGCGCAGTATCGCTTGACTCATGCGGGGACCGCGGGTCAGTCACATCAGTACATTGACCGTGAGGTCACAGGCTGGAACATAAGCACGGTAGTAAGATCGTGCAGTAGTGAGATCGTACAGCAGTCAGGTTGCACGGTAGGAAAACTGTACATTAGTACGAACGACGACTCGGGAGAGTCGCGCCACGCATGGCCCAAAGCCCGCGGGGTGTGATGCGTGACCAATCTGGTAGCCGCGCTTCGCCAAACTATGTACGCTGGGAGGGGCTGGAAGATGAGCTTGTGCAGGTTGGTGGGGGGTTGGGCAGTGGATCAGCACCTTCAAGGGCTTCAACAATAGTTTGGAAATTTTTGGAATTTTTACAGGACTTAGGGTTCATTTCAGAGTATTTTAGAATGTTGATGCTGAATTCAGAATGTTGAACAAGTTGTTCAATGTCTGGATTCGTACATTGGACAACAGCTTTCAGGGCACAATCCCCCTTGCTCTGAGAAGACGAAATGCAGGTACTTCTCATTCTGTGCCGACACAGGTCTCACGGCTGTCGAGCCCACGCAGTTCAACTCGCGCAAAGCTCAATGCAAACGTCAATCGCAATTAGCCGGGCGGGTCCACGATCAGCGACAAGACTAGGTTGAATAAGACATGAAATTCAATTCAGCAAACTCAACGCAATCAACGTGACTGAGATGCGTTCATAATGTGACGGAGATGCGATGAAAATGTAAATTGTATTTGCATTGATAAAACAGCACAGGCGTGATAAGAATATGGCCGAAATAAAAAGATCGAACACAACCCCCAGTTCGCATGCCCCCGCAGGCGACATGAAAGCGCTGCTGGTCCTCTCCGCGCTCGCCCTCTTGGGCGCCGCCGCCGTCGGCGCCAAATCTCCTTACTACTGGCCCCACGCAGCCCCCAAAATTGATCAACGTGATCGAAATACAAATTCTGATGGAACTGCGCTAAAATGCGACAGAGATGTGATGACAACTTGACAATAGTGTGATAACAAAGTGCCAAAGTTCGCACCCAACCCCCCGTCTGTGTGCCCCGCCCAGTGAACATGAAGGCTGTCCTGATCCTCTCCGCGATCCTGATCCTATTGAGCGCCGCGCCCACCCGCGGTGAATCCCCCTACTACTGGCCTCACGCGTCCCCCAAGTCCAGCGGCTGCGGCTGGGTGGCTTGGCTGGAGTCCTGCCACGGAGGCGGCACCCTTGTCGTCCGCCACTCCCTGGACGACTTCAAGAAGGCCATGTCCGATCAGGGAGACAAGGGGCGGCACCTGACCGCGGTGGACTACGGCGCGGGCACGTGGGTGGGTTTCTTCAGGGACCTGCCGGGTGGCTGGCGGTGGGTGACGCGCAGCAAGTGGCAGGACTTCAAGAAGGAGCTGGACTGGTGGGTGGACGGTCAGCACAGGTTGCACGGCTAATGTGCGGGAGCGCCCTTACACGCAGTATTCGTTATAGCTCGTAATGGTGCCCATTGTGCTTGTTGTGTGGTTATGTTGTTCGTATTCATGTTGTTCGTCTTCATCATAGCTCATTGCGATTGTTCATTGTGTTTGGTTTTGTGGACGTTGGAATTCGTTATTTTCAGGATTCTTTGATTGCTGAGGCTTTAGCGCGTTGTAGCCGAAATGGGTGTTCACGCCGACGAGCGCCCTCTGTGGAGCAATGCCCCGCAGCTGCAATAAATGCATTGTAGAACATTGTGTAGCTTGTAATGCTCACTGATGTTCGTTGCAAGTTGGCTGCCTATTTATTGATAATGATTTTCGCTCCCGTACTGCCCGAAAGAGTATTTTGGGCGTCGGCTGCTCTGCCAACCCTGAAAATGCAAGGTGGCGGCAATTTCGGCAGCAGCTCTGTTGCACATGTAGGACTGCTGGTGTCGTAGTGTTAGTAATACAGCCACTACTTTTCGCAACAGTGATCGATATAAAAAATAGAATCGGCTGAGCTCAGAAATTTGTTTACGAGGCTGCCTGTGGCTATTGCGGCCGTTTTCATCGAGGGTGAGGCTTTGCTGCTCTTGCTGCCGTGGGCTAGACCCTCCTGGGAAAATTGTGTGCGGCGAAGTGGTCGCGGAACTCTGAAGAGTTGGCACTGCCTCTGCGCCGCTGCTCGGCACTGCTTTACTTCTCTTTTCACGCGGAGCAGCATATGGTCACCTATTTGATTGGTTAAATCACAACAGGGTGACGCTGCAGTATAACAACAGGACACGCGGTGCACAGGCACGTGCGGCTCATCGACGCTTGTCAATATCCAGTAACGTGCATGGCCATGATGCTGCACACCCGGTAACGTATGCGAACATGCGTTTAGTGCATTTGCTATTACTTTGGTCATTCAGTCAATCAGGAAAGTCGAATGTGGTGGCGAGAGGAGGTTTGGCCGCATGGCCCTCGTTTCGCTCGCGAATACTAGTGTCCATGAATGACACAGCAAGGATGGCAAGCCGCTCAGCAACTCGTTGGCATCGCTCTGCATTGTTGTACCAGATCTCTTTGCCAACACCAGTTCGTCCCTTGGAACCCCAAACTCGCCTGGGCATCCAACAGGTTGAATTCATCGCATTTCCAAAATTGCTATCCAACCCAGGCGGCTAAAGTAGCTCCGTGGCCAATTAAAAACTCGTCGGGCGGCTCGCCATGCTCGCAGCTCCATAAGCTTCAGCATAGACAACACTACACTACAGCGTGCAAGCAACACGAGGGCATTCCCGACAAATGTGCCGTAAACGTTTTTGAGCGCCCATCTAGGCTCGTCGACGACCACTACGACGCGGAGGCCATGGCCTTCGGCGACGGCGTCTACCTGGGCTGGTTCCGCAAGAACAAGGGCAAGAAGTCCTCCTGGGCGTCGCGCACCAGCTCCTCCAAGTTCCACACGCAGCTGGACGAGAACCTGCATGAGGGCAAGCACATGATATCCGGCCTGTCCAACGGCAAGGACTTCTGGGTGGGCTGGTGGCTGGAGAAGCGCGGCTCCTCCCGCTGGGCGCACGTCTACAGCTACGGGGAGCTGGTCGGCGAGCTGACCCACGGCAAGGATTCCGGGTATTATGTGACGTCCATGGTGCACGGAAACGGTGACTGGATTGTGTGGTGGGAGGAGGAGAAGGGCGGGTGGAGCGGGTGGGCCAGGAGGGGCAGCCACAAGGACTTGAGCGACTGGATTTATGAGAATTATGACGGGCGGTGCGTGACGGGCATTGCCTACGGCTGCGACTGAGGGCTGGTGGTCGGCTTGCGAATCTGGCAGCGGCCGTCTGCTCGTGAATTTTGCTGCGGCCGTGTGTAAGGGGATTTAGGTGTTTACGTCGGTTGGGCTTCCGAAACTCGTACATGGGCTCGTCGAATTGGAGGCTGCGGTCCTTTGGAATCAAACCGAATGCTGTAATTGTAGTTCTTTGGTGCAGATTTCGGGAAGACACAGCGGTGCCCTTGCACCCTATGGGCGACGGGGGGCATGTGTACTTCCCTCGAACTGGAGGCGCGCTTCGGCTCGTCTGTTGAATGGTGTTCGTTTCGTCTAACGTGAGGCGTCCGTCAGATGTTCGATTGGAAGGCGTGCATCAGTGGCAAGATTCAACGTCCTTCATTCGGCGACCGTATTTCGGTCGTCCTTCGTCGATTCGTCAATTCGTCGATTGCTAGGAATCCGTCGGCTGGTGCAACGGGCGTCGCTCGCAGGATGTCGTCTGCAGCCATCACGCTCGATCCCGCAGCACTCAGCTGTGCAACAACGATTGAAAGCGTATCCGACCACTTGGACTGTGCGCACCGTGCGTATCCGCCACATACGCACGTGCTGGCCCTGCGCTATGGGGTCTCCTTCGACTTTTCTTGTCCGTTGGGGGTACGTACCCCCAATCGAGTATACTCGATGGTTGTTGCTGGCAGCCCCAAGGTGCCCCCGGCGAGACGCTGCATTCCACACGCCCAGCCGCCAGCCCTGGCGCTTCTCACAACCGGTCTCCACACACTCGCCGCCAAGCTCGCAAAAGCTTTTCTTCAGGCTGACTGGAGGCGCGCGAGCCCAACCCCACGGCAGGGCCACCGTCCACACGGACGCACTAGCATCTCCCGTCAAATTTGCTGCAAATTTGCATTTCATTTGCATCAAATCTGTTCTGCCGCGCAACGCCAGTCTGGCGCTGGCGCTCCGTGTGCACTGAGCCCCCGCAACACCAGGCTCTGCCCAGTAGGCGCCTCCCATCAAGTAGTGGGGAGGCGAACGTGGTGAACCGAGCAAAAAATGCCTTGCCAAAAGAATGTCGAAGAACGTGTGTCAAGACTGTCAAGTTCAAACGGAGGCAATGGCCAGTGGCGGCAAGGCTTGGGGTGTGGGAAGGTTCGTCGGAAAAAATTGCGTATCCTGCGATATGGGCGCCCGTATCCAGGGATACGGGCTGTAGGAAATAGCAACGTGATGGGGACGGTGGGAATGCAAGCGATCGCTTCTGCAACGCTTGGCCAAAGCCAGGCCTTCTCGGGTGCGAACGGCGTGTTTGCCGTGCTGCGGCGTTGGGCCTCGCAACTTTGACTAGTCAGCGCCGGCGCGGGCGCCCGTTACCAGCTCGAATTACTCTTTCAATCGGTCAGTTTCTGTCAGTCTGTGTACCTTGTAGGCGCAAAGTCATTACACGATCATTGTAGCATGATTATGTAATAATTACGGCAGTGCTGCGACAGTAGATAACGTCCGTCAGTTTGATCGTTCTGGTTTCTGTCATTCCCGCCAAACCCAGCACGCCCGTGCTGTGCTACCAGGTCCGCGGGTCGTGGAGCAACGGCAGCCGTCGGCCAGGCGAGACACGGCGCATCACGACGGCGACGTCATGGCGCGGGTTGGAGGTCTGGTGGTGGGATGCGCGACGAAGGTGCGCGGCGGAACTGTGGGAGGGTGGCGTGGGGTGGGAGGGGTGCGCGGCCATTGGGCAGGTCGCTGGGCGGCTGTTCCGGGCATTTGTGGTCGACGCGATGCTCCTCGCCTGTGTGTGCATCGATCTATGCCAGCTCGCCGCCGACGGGGGCAACGGACTGCAGCTGCTCGCCTCGGCTGTGGATCCCCGCCGCTTCTGATCAGGGTGAGTTCCACCGCAGGGTCCCTTGTGTTGGAATGCTGGGGCGCGGAAGAATTATGTGGCGTTTGGAATCATTCGCAAACTATCAAAGTACCGTGACGCTGCCATGATCGAGGTAAGGCGAGGGCGGTAATGCGGCCATTGTCTGCCAGCCTATGTCCCGGTTTCTCACCCGCTGTGCAACCATACTGGCGAATGCACATAAGGGGGCCTCAGTGGCAAGAGTGTAGCTCACCCCATTCTTCCAAACCGCCTACCCACAGACATGTGACCCACGATCCAATGCAGAAAGGGGATGGTGCATGGTGAATCGTAGCCTGCCTGGCCATCTGCTTGAAGTTGAATGCCCCAGCTGAAAGTGTGTGGAAATCGCCTGAAGGGTAGAGGAGCAGCCTTATTGCTTTGCATATTTGTGTGGAGCATGCATACGTGGCATTCACTGTGGCTTGTGCAGTGCAGCTGCAGGTGCTGAACACACTTCAAGCAAACAACCCTGAAAGGAAGAGGCATGTCAGCAGAAGTGACACCGTTAGTGGTTTTCAGCAGGCTATACGCATGCATGTTGGGAATCGGCTTACCACTGCGGGCTCTGCTGTTGCAGGTACTGTGTGGGCACCCATGAATGTTTTGATTACCGAGGACATATGTGCATGGAGTGTCTTTCTGCTGCTGTGTAGGAGACCTGATGCATCCAGATTCCAGCACGGTGTTCACTGTTGTTTACATTTCCTGCCGGAATGTGGAGATGTGGGCATGGTTTAGAAGTCAAATTATGTGAAGATGTTCGCTGGGGATATTCGCTGTATGGCTGGTGCCCTTTGGTGTTGTTTAAAGTCATTGTGCTGTAGCCATGTGCTATTGTGATGGCATTGTGATCATATCCATGCACTGTTCATCTGACATGGCAAAAAATTTTCCCAGTTCTTGTATTCATGCCACCAACACTTAAGGCACTTACTTGCAGTCTGCGTATGTCCATATGGGCAAGCTTGTCCTTTCGCGGAGGGAAATGATCCAAAAGGTTTCCTCCATTCTGGCCTGCAGCTATTCGAAGGGCTTGGAGCCATCCTGTACGACATCCTGCAGCAGAGTGACTACCATCCAGTTTCCATTACTGTGGTGCATCAGTATGGTCGTCTGTTGCTGGAAGCCATCGCGTACATGGCAGCTTGGTGCATATTGGGGGATGTCAGAGTGTTTCGCACTAATCAGCAAACGGCAGAGCAAGATAGTTTCATGGCAATGTTGCACAGCTTGTTGTGTGTCAGGACAGGTGTGCTGGTGAGTGCTGACAGTGTGCAAGTCTGTGTAGCAGGTGGAGAGGCGGTGACGGCAAGGATGACGTGGTGATGTCGACACATGTGGTGGCCACTCATGGGCTGCTGGTTGAGTGCTGCGTGACAATGCCTGGACTTAATCGGGGTGGCAGTCTGGCGGGCATCGGTGCAAAGGAATGGTTAATTGGAGTTGTATTGTCACTGCATTCATGATAGGTAGTTGCTTCGAGAGCTGATAGGTGGATGATTTGATGGGTAGTTCCTTGGCTAGAGATATGGAAGCAAAATTAATTTCTAGTTGTTGTGAAATCTGTAAAATACTTCATACGTCCCATACTAAATGTCCTCTATGACTTTGGCGCATAACTTCTCCACCACTTCCTCCGTCCCATATTAAATGTCCTCTACGAATTTGGCGCATCATTTCTCCATCACATATTGTAGTTTTTTCAGTGAAATTTTGTTCAAAGCTGTATCTACCTTTTCGGAGTATACGGTCAAAATTTGAAGTCAATCTGTTAAGTATTGATGATTTGCCAGTACTTTGTAGCAAGGGTCCTCTTGCCAGAAACCCATCGGTTTTTCAACGATTTCGCGAAAACGGCCGTTTTCGCCGTTTCGAGGAGCATGCGTTCGTGGCGGCGAAACAGAGCCGCCCATGCAAAACTGTCCACGCTATTGAGACAAAAGATTGGCGTGGTGCTTGCGAGGAAGTGGGACGATAGGAATCGCGTTCTGAAGGCCCTCATCGTGTAGCTCGCCGTAGCTTAGAGCTGAAATTCAGTGCTGGGTTGGTGGACCGGAGCTAACTTCTAGCCCCAAATTTTGGGGGCCACGACTTTTCGTCCCCTGTTGTTGTTGTCAAAACAACATAGGGTGACTCTGAAACCTCCTGACAAGGTGGCGGAGAAGGTGAAGCCCAGCACCGCATTCAGCGGCGGCCGATTGTGGGAATTGTTGTCAGTGCGAAATTGGCAAAATTGGGTTTGTTGTGGAATTTGAAATGGCAGGGCACGAGGCAAGCGGCTAGATGGCTAATGCCATGTTTTTTTTCACAAATGGAGACTAGCTAGATGGTGATGGATAGTGGACAGCACAAAAGAGGTGGTTGTTGGTAGCATCTCATGGATCGTGGGCCAAGCTGCAAGTAATAGGGGACGAGGCCCGTCTGGATGGGGAGGACCCCTGGAGCAACAGATTGATTGAAGATGCCTTCAGGGTCGTCATTCGAGTGAACACCCCGTGGGTCTGGTGCCACATGGCGATGGGTGACGATGAGCAAGTTTCCATTCATCTGGAGGTTCCCCCAACCACATTGAGCGTTGGTTTGGTGGGTGAGGCTCCATGCCAATTCTGACCATCTGATTTCCCAGAAACGAAGCAATCAATCTAGCTTTTGGCAAGGGAAGGTCCCGGTGCAGTAGCCGTCCAGTCCCTAGCCCGGATGACGGCTGACATGCTGGTCGCCCGCTGGGTAGCAGGAACACCGGTTGGAGGTGTGCGAGAATGGGCCCGCATGACTGGGGTTTCGATTGAAGCCCTAGTTTTTCAAATGCTAAACGCTTGGGTCATTGAGTATGACCCCTTGACAAGCGGGGAGACGTGGGGAGAGTCGGGGCCTGTCCCAGTGGGAATTCAGCTTTCAGGCCCTCAAGCTGGAGATGCAATTTGGCACAGTGGCATAACGTGGCATCCGTCAACATACCCACTTTGAGTGGTTGGGCTTTGCTAAACAAATGGAATGGATTGGATTCATGTGAATGCGCCTGCTGATTTAAACAAACCAAATATATGCAAGTGAATCAGGTGCCTGTAATTCAAATGCCTCATGCCATCTTGAGTGGGTCCCGGAGTGAATTCGACATGAG